CAGAAGGGTACAAAGTGCCTAATCAAGTTGGAGGTGGTGTCACCAGACTGAATTAGTAATTCAAACCATCAGGCTAATGTTCTGGGGACATAGATTCCAAACTCCACCTTGGCAGGCAGTAGAAGTTGAATTCAGTAGCTGCCATGTATGTTATGCATTCCTTTTTAAAGCAAAATAAAAACCAAAAGAACTGCGGATGCTGTAAATCAGGAACAAACACAGGAATTGCTGGAAAAGCTCAGCAGGTCTGGCAGCATCTGTGAAGAGGAATCAGAGTTAATGTTTCAGGTCTGATGACCCTTCCTCAGAGCTTTTTAAAGCAAGTTCCCTTTAGCCTCTGTCTGTGTATTGACCACCCCACTCTCAACCACACTGCAACCATTTATGAATTAGGAACAAAAGTTGGCCACTTGGTCCTTTAAGCCTGCTCCACTATTCAATAAGATCATGGCTCATTTGTTTGTGTTCCCAATTCCATATTCCCATCTTTCCCTGATAGCCATTAATTCCCTGTCTAACGAGAATCCTAAAGGGGTCCTGAGGAAGGTTCACTGGACCCGAAACATTAACTCTGATTTTTTTCTTCACAGATGCTGGCAGGCCTGCTGAGCTTTTCCAGCAACTTCTGTTCTTGTTTCCAAAAAGGGGTCACTGGACTTGAAATGTTGACTCTGTTTTCTCTCCCCAGATGCTGCCAAACCTGCTAAATTTCTGCAACACTTTGTATAAGAATCTAACTACCTACTGTGTTAAAAATATTCAATGACACACCTCCACTGTCTTCTGAGGCAGACAGTTTCAAAGTTGCACAACTCTCTGATGGGAAAGCTCCCTCTTCATTTTAAAACAGTGACCGCCCACCCCCCCAACCCCTCACTCCATCCAGTTCTGGACTGACCAGAACAGAAACATCCTTTCCACAATCATCTTGTCAAGGACACTCAGAAACGTATACACTTCAATTAAATTACCCCTTGCTCCACTGAAACAAGCCCGTCTGTCCAATCATTTCTCAGAAGACAATCTGCTCATTCCAGGTATCAATCTAGTAAACATCCAGTGTACTGCTTCTAATGCATTTACATCCTTTCCTTAAATAAGCACAGTCTTTAAGATGTGGTCTCACTAATGCCTTGTACAACTGAAGCAGAACATGCTTTTATGTTCAATTCCTCTTAATAATAGAGGCTAGCAGCCCATTAACATTCCTAACTGTGCACTGCATCATAGAATCCCTACAGTGCGGAAGCAGGCCAATTGACCCATCAAGTCCACACTGACCCTCCAAGGAACATCCTGCCCAGACCTACCACCCCCCCATTCCTGTACTCCCACATTTCCCATGACTGATCCACCCAGCCTGCACATCTTTGGACTGGGAGAGAAAACCAGAGCACCCAGACAGAATGTGCAAACTCCACACAGACAGTCACCCAAGGGTGGGAATTGAACCCAGGTCGCAGCTGCTGTGAGGTAGTAATGCTAATCACTAAGCCACTGTGTATCTGCTCTGAGAGTTGTGCACAAGAACACCGAGATTCTGCTACCCTCGGTCATTTGCCGTACTTCTCCATTAAACTAATTGTCTGTTTTATTTTAAAAGATTCTTCCTCCCAAAGTGAACAGCTTCACATTTTCCCCCCATTATACTCAACCTGAAAGATTTTTGCCGACTCATTCAACCTAAATATATAGCTCTACATCTTACTATGTCACTTTCACGACATACTTTCTGACCTATCTTTGTGTCATCTGCAAATTGAGCCACTCATTATGGCATCCATCACTTTATCAATGTAGATAATATAAGTGTAAAACATTAAGGGTCCAGTAGAGACCCCTGAAGGACATGATTTGTTACAAGCTGTCAACCTGAAACAGGCCAATTTATCCATATCCTGCCAGTCAGCTAGCCAATCTTCTATCCATTCTGGTAAGTCACCTCCTATTCTGTGAACTCCTACATTGTACATTAGCTTTTTGTGTGGAGGCTTGGTAAATTTCCCCTAGAAATCTAAATACATCTACAGACTTCCCCTTATTGACAGGGCATGTTACTCCTTCAAATAAATTGACTAAATACAATCTCCATTTTATAACACCAGGCTGGTTCTTTCCGATGACTTGGAGCTTTTCCCCAAGTACCAAGTTATAACTTTCTTCATTTTTAAAAAAAATTTAATCCATTTTTCCTGTTCAGAGATGTTATGACACACCACTAGAGTAGGTGGGACTTGAACCCAGGCCTCCTGATGTAGGGGTAGGGACACTACCACTGCACCACAGCAACCAATTTGAATGCTTTCCCCTGACAGATATCAAGCGAACTGGCCTATAGTTTCCTGTTTTCTACCTTTGTCCCATCTTGAATACAGGGGTTATATTTACAGTTTAATGGAACCTTCAGAGAATGTATGAATAAAGAGCAAAGAACAAAGAAAATTACAGCACAGGAACAGGCCCTTCGGCCCTCCAAGCCTGTGCTGATCCAGATCCTCTATCTAAACCTGTCGCCTATTTTCCAAGGATCTGTATCCCTCTGCTCCCTGCCCATTCATGTATCTGTCTAGATACATCTTAAATGACGCTATCGTGCTCGCCTCTATCACCTCCGCTGGCAACGCGTTCCAGGCTCCCACCACCCTCTGTGTAAAGAACTTTCCACGCATATCTCCCTTACACTTTTCTCCTCTCACCTTGAAATCATGACATCTAGTAACTGAGTCCCTCACTCTGGGAAAAAGCTTCTTGCTATCCACCCTGTCTATACCTCTCATGATTTTGTAGACCTCAATCAGGTCCCCCCTCAACCTCCGTCTTTCTAATGTAAATAATCCTAACCTACTCAACCTCTCTTCATAGCTAGTGCCCTCCATACCAGGCAACATCCTGGTGAACCTCCTCTGCACCCTCTCCAAAGCATCCACATCCTTTTGGTAATGTGGCGACAATTGTACGCAGTATTCCAAATGTGGTTGAACCAAAGTCCTATACAACTGTAACATGACCTGCCAACTCTTGTACTCAATACCACATGAAATTCAGGAAAATTAATATCAATTACCTCATTAGCCTGACCTTATGATAAAATCCATCAGCACCGTGAGTCTTATCATCTGCTTCTCCACTGGTTTCTTCAGTTCCACTTCCCTAGTGATTATAATTTCACCAAGTTCCTCTTTCACTTCAACCTTCTGAATTACAGTTGTCACTGGAAAGTTTTTTAGTATCCTTCATGTGAGGACAGAAGTAAAGCATTTATTCCTCACATCTGCTTTCTCTTTAGTGCTTACCTCCAGCTCTATAACCCACTGCAAAAGAAGTAAATGCAGGTCTGGGAAACATTGCTAAATGAGGGATATTATTAAATTAGAGAAGGTGCAGAAAAGATTTACAAGGATGATCCGGGACTAGAGAGTTTGAGTTATAAGGAGAAGGTGGATAAGCTGGGACATTTTTTTCCGCTGGAGCATAGGAGGTTGAAGGGTCACCTTTATAAAATCATGAGGGGTATAGATAAGATGAATAGCAAAGATCTTTTGTGAGGGGAGAAAGATTTAAAAGGAACCTGAGGGCCAACGTTTTCTGACAGTGTGTGGTTCATATGTGGAATGAACAGCCAGAGAAAACGGCAAATGCAGGTATAGTTACAATATTTAAAAGACATTTGGACAGGTACATAAATAAGAAAGGTTTAGAGGGATATGGGCCAAATACAGACAAATGGGACTAGTTTAATTTAGGAAACTTCATCCGTCTGGATGAATTGATTTTGATTTGATTTATCCTGGTCACCTCCCTAAGTACAGTGAAAAGTTTGTTTGGCAAGCAGTACAGGCAGATCATAGTAAACAAGGACATACAGATCATCGGGTGCTTAGACAGAGCAAGACATACAAGGTTTTGGCTGCACAGGAGGTGCACAAAGCAAGATCAACATTAGCAAGATCTATTTGAAATATTTGAAATTAGAGACGTCCGTTCAGTAGTGTAACAACCTGTTGCTGCATGTGTTCAAGCTTCTGTACCTGAGTTGGACTGAAGGGTCTGTTTCTGCGCTGTATGACTCCATGATTCTATTACCTGGAATTGCGATGGAGACACAATAGAATTGGGTGTTGGGTGTTTATTCGACTGCAAACAATGTACAGTGTTACAGGGAGAAGGTAGGAGGAGGAGGACTCCAGTTCAAAATGCTCATTTGGAAAGCCAGTGCCGACACGATGGACTGGATGGCCTCCTCCTGCACTATAACACTTGTGTGACCTCTGTGATTTCTCTAGCAATGGTACATCAAATAGCATCGCTCCGCCTTTGATGCTAGTGCCTTTGACTGACTCGACCCTTTGACCCTGAAATAAAATTAAAGCGCGGACGCTGGAGATTTGAAACAGAAACAGAAAACCCGCAGGTCTGGCAGCATCTGTGGAGAGAAAGCAGAGTTCATATCTTTCGAGTCTAGTAACCTTATTAACCCTGGGTTGTCTAATCCTACCCGTGTACATCTCAAATGTTTAAGCCACTCCCTAAAACCGACTTCTGTAAACGCGTTTTCTAGTGACCAATGTGGCTGATTTGCAAACTGTCTCCAGACCTTTTATGCTGTTGGGAATCGCTACATTCATGCAAGTCGTTATCGTAAAAGGGAAATTGCTTCAATAAAAGGAGACCCTCGCTATTGAGGATTCGTTTTCTGAGAAAGTCTGTAGATTTTTTTAAAGAAAGGCGGGGAGAGAGGCTGAGAGAGAAACATTCTTTCTTTGAACTGATGTGAAATACGTTTGGTGCCTTGCAAAACAAAAAAAACCCATCGATTGACATCAAAGGTGTATTTTTTTCTGGCCAGCCCCGGTTGTTGTATTAATGGGTTCGGGTGATTGGTGAATGGGCGGATTGTGAGTGCGGCCAGCAGCCAATACCAGCGGCGGCTGGGTGGGATTTGCAGGGTGTGTGAAGACAGAGAGAGACAGAGAGAATTTATACACACAGGAAAAGCTACAACTCAGAAGTGGGCAGGAGCGCATGGGGTTGTAGCGTGCTAGGGGGACGGGAACCCTACAGTTCTACTCTCCTGTTCACAGGAGGAAAGGGGCAACAGCTTCTCTCAGTCAAAAAGTCCTATCCCTTCCACTGGTTCCCTATTAATTCCACTTCCCCACCCCGTCTCTCTGTCTGTCTCAAACTTCCAAGGATGGTAACTGAAGACTCCAGCGATGGGGAGAGCCTGAGAAACGAGCCGGGCTGGTGTAAAACCCCCAGTGGTCACATCAAGCGGCCCATGAACGCGTTCATGGTGTGGTCACAGATCGAGAGGCGGAAGATCATGGAGCAATCCCCGGATATGCACAACGCCGAGATCTCCAAGCGCTTGGGGAAACGCTGGAAAGCCCTGGCGGACACCGAGAAGATCCCGTTCATCAAAGAAGCCGAGCGCCTGAGGCTCAAACACATGGCCGACTACCCGGATTACAAGTACCGGCCCAGGAAGAAGGGCAAGAGCGGGGCCATCGCCAAAATGCTCAGCAGGAAAGTGGCTTCGGTCAGGAAGAACCTCAGCAACAAAGCGCAGAGAGGGAGAGGCCGCTCCAGAGACAAGGGCGTTTGGAAAACCAAGAGGGCTGGACCCAAAGCCGAGACCGCTGAAGATGACCGGCAGGAGGCACAGGAAGATCCCAGAAGGCGGGAGCCAGGGCGGCAGGGCAGCTGCTCTTCCTATGAAGAAGATGCCAGCGGACAAGACGAAGACTATGAGTTAGCCCCGGATCCAGAGCCGCCGGGCGCTAAGCCCATTGTAGACCTGAGCCCCGAGGAGCCGCGCTCCCCTGAAGATGCAGGACTAACCCATCCTCTCGGGGACTTGCGGTCTTCCTCTCCCTCTTCCACCAGGTCCCTCGCCTCCTGCTCTTCAGACGAGGAACTAGAAGATGAGATTCTCGACATTATCTCCAGCGCTAACTTTGAAAATCTGGCGCTTGGCCCCTTGGACTCACTATCCCTGGATAAAGATATGGAAATCTTGCATACGAACTCCGCATCCCATTTCGAATTCCCAGATTATTGCACTCCCGAAGTAACCGAAATGATTTCAGGAGACTGGCTGGTATCTAGTGTGTCTGACCTAGTATTTACTTATTAAAATAGGGACCTTTTTTTAAAACGTTTCTTTTTTTTTTAAATATTCCTTTTCCTTCCTCCCAAAATAAATATACAGCAAAGCCGAGATTTAAACCAACAGTATCAACTTGGATTTTTCAAAATTGTTTGCAATTACTGTAGCGCCCTTTTTATTGAGGTTTTTATTTTAAAGAGGAAAGTCAAATGATTTAAAAATTGTACTCCTGTCCCAAAGTAAGTAAAGCAGGTATCTTTTTAACTGTACAATTTAATTGATGTATCCGTTTGGCAATAACATTTGAAAGAGTTTGTGCCGTGATCAGGGTATTGTAACTTAAGCCAAACCGTCGCGTTTGGATAGTTTTTATAAATACGAAAAAAAAGCTGTCCTTAATTGGGTTTGAATATTGATCTGGATTAGTCGAGAAAGGAGATATTTGTCCAGGGATACAGGCACCGGCCTGGCTTTAGCAGCAGGATTTCAAAATTAGTTTTGTTTTTGTGTGTGGGGATTTCAATGGACAATAAATTAAGGTGAAATACTCAGGATACAGCCGGACTAGGGAGAGAGACTGAAATGACATGCATCTCTCACTGAGCAAGTTCAAACTGATGCGAGGACAGCTTTGAAAATATTAGCCTGAACGTCTGCTTTGAACCCTGAGCGTCTCCTGGGGATCCAGGTTTGAGATAACATGCGTGTCGTGTCTGAAGCCAAGCTCAAAGCTGCCTTGATAGTGTGTAAAGCGTGGAGAAGCCTTTCGATTTGCCAGCTCCAGTGACACCTTGTCTGGGCGATGGAGAGGCTCTGCTGGGTCCTAGCGAGAAGCCGCCTTCTCTTTCTCTCCCCAGTCAATCCCTGAAGGGATTGGTGTGGGGGAAGAGGGAAACAAGATCTTGGATAAAGGGGGAAGTGGGTGGGTGGGGATCAGGGGTTTTAATACACACCTGTTCACTTCCAGCGAAAGCCTCTGGGCTTTTAGAAAGCGAGAGTATTGTGTTCTCGAGTGTAATATGAACATTAGCTATCCACTAAGGTTGGCATCTCTCAGTTGAATAGGAAACTATGAATTATTTTCACATTCATTCTAGTGTCATTGTGTTAGGCCACTTATATTTATGCCCTGGGTTGGGGAAGGGGATTGTCAGTTAAGGAGAATAGATTGTTGTGGGTGTGTAGGGGGAGGGGTGGGGAGTGGGAGGATGAAGTCACTTTCACTGTCACATAAAGTGTGGTCTGAGATTGTGTACAATCTTGACCTGGTGGCATGTTTGGAGTGGGGGTCCTCAACCTTTAAATTTTAAAAAAATCATCCAATCAGGTCATTTAAAGCTGTTGCCATCACAAATTGACCTCCAATCAGATATGACATTTCCATGCAGGTGCCTCCAGGTTACATTCTGGGTGCAGGGCCAATGGGGTTTAACCATTCTAACTGAGGAGTGTGGGGGGGAATGGTCTGGGTCTATGATGGGGTGGGGGCGTGGGTGAAACCATTCTCAGTGAAGAGAGTGGTGGGGGTGGGGTGACCTTGGTCTTTGGTGGGTGGGTGAAGCCATTTTCAGTGAGGAGAGTGGGGGGATGATCTTGGTCTATGGTGGGGTGGGTGGGTGAAACCATTCTCAGTGAGGAGAGTGGTGGGGGTGATCTTGGTCTGTGGTGGAGGGGTGAAACCATTCTCAGTGAGGAGAGTGGGGGTTGAAAACATTCTCAGTGAGGAGAGTGGGGGGATGATCTTGGTCTATGGTTGGGGGAGTTAAAGCCATTCTCAGTGAGGATAGTTGGGCAGCAGGGTGAGGGGGGTGATCTTGACTGTATATCTATAACCAGGATGGGTGGGTATAACCATAAATCACCGTGAACCTCTGACCTCTTGGCTTGGGCAACATCATATCTGCACAGTCCAGCACTATTCTTTATTAATTTTGACTTCTACTTTGTTTTGTGAAACAAGAGAGTACAGACTAGTAACTGAGCATTGTGGCATCACTGCCTTGTGTATCTAATTCGATTTGGTTAAAATGTTTGAGGACAAAGAGGCAAGATGCACAAGTAAATGGGGAACAGTGCGTAGAATCTATTAACATTGGTGTTGATATTCTGATTGTATTATTCCAACAGTTGTTTACGAAGACGCATGTTTGGAGGGGGAAACAAGCGGGGAGGTGCTGTCAGAGTATTGAGAGGTGCATTTGGAACATTTCTTTCATTGGCTGTGTCCAGGCTGATTGCATGATTCGTTTAACCCTTTGGCAGCTGAAGTATTCCAACTGCCTCTTCGAAAATTAATACACTGTGAATATGTAATATTCTGTGAATCCTGTAATTCTGAAAATAATGGAGAGTCTTAAATTGTGTTGACTGGGTGCTAAAACCAAGTGCTATTCAATCTGCATTCTGATCAGCTCCTTAAACAATCGCCCAACTCAGGGAGTTTTATAGCTGCGTTACTGTGAGGGAGTGAATTCTTCCATCCTGTAAATACAATGTCTCATGCTCTCTAGAAGCAGTGGAACAGGAATACCACTTAATTCTGCTCTGCCATTCAGATGTATCCTGGTTAATATGTACCTCAAAACCATTTACCCGTCTTTGCTGCATGTCACTAGTTGCACCTACTACCAAAAAAATCTCACTCAGTTTTGAAAACTCTAACTGTACCAGCATCCACAGCCTTTTAGGGGAAAGAATTCCACATTTCTATTGCCATTTCTGTGAGGAGATGTCTCCTGGTTTCACTCCTGAATGGTCTAGCTCCTTGTTCTTGCTTCCTCACCAAAGAAAATAGCTTCTCAGATTACCTTTCTATCTTTATAGGAATGCAAGCCAAGTTTATGTAACCTATTAAAATAATTTAACCTCCTATGCTCTGATAATGTCAGCACAGCCCCAGAGGGCACATAGAGAGACACACACAACTGGTGGTGGTTTGATTTGAAGGTGAAAACTTTATGGTAATCTCAGCCACTGTGGGAACTGAACCTGGGCTGTTAGCATCACTATGCAATTCAAACTAGCCACCCATCCAACTAAGCAGACTGATGGCCCTGAGTCCAGATATTTGCCTGGTGAATCCTGACTGATATGATGATGGACCTTAGCTAGCAGTGTCCTGTATACTTTATTCCAAAATCTATTTATAAAAAATACTTCAAATTGAATATTAAACAAGTGCAGTAAAATTCAATTTTTTCTTTCCATACAGCTTGTTTCACTCTCAGGTTCCTCAATATGTTTGCAATTCTCCATCTTTACAATATGCATACCATCCATAAAGCCTGAGTGCAAAACATTTGGTCTGGAATATTACAGAAAGTGCAATAGAATTAAACTTTCTTCCATGTGACACATTCCACTCAGAGGTGCCTCAATGCAATTTCTATTCTCTTGATATTGATAGCAACGTTCAGTCATCAAAGGGTTAACATGCATCAGCTGGATACGGTTGGGGAACTGAAACTTCCCCTCTTGTCTTCACCCTGCATTGAGAGATATTAAAGTCATTGTAGTCTGTGTAGATGGACAGAATATGAGTTAATGGTAGTGCATTAATGTAAATATTTGTCATAGATTTATTTTCAGAGATTTATAACTGTATATTTGGTTAAATTATTAAAATCTTTTGCCATTTTCTGTTATCTGTGTAAAGAATGTTTTAATTATGGAAATTAAGTAATTAATATTAAAATGTTTACATCAGTTATCAGTATTGGGTCCACCACTCATCTGTGTCCACATGCAGTTCAAAATAAATGCTAATCCTCTAAGGAAATAGATTTGCACTTCCAACACCCTCTGTTTCACAACCTCAGAACATCCAAGCCAAGGGAGTGCTCAGAAGTATTGTAGTATAGGCAACCTGGCAGCCAATTTGCACACAGTAAACTCCCACAAATAACAGCAAAACAATGAACAGACTATCTCTTTTAGTTATTCTGACAGGCAGATACATGTTGCAGCACAGCAAAAGGAAAGCGTTCCACTGCTCTTCCTCGAAATAGGGAGATGGATTCATTTTCCAAACATAGTGGGCCTCGCTTTAAAGTCTCTTCTGAAGGAAGGCATCTGCCTCAATGCCACGAAACTGGGAATGTCAGACAAGATCCTCAGCTGAATTCTCTGGGGTGGGGTCTTGAATCAAAACCTTTTGAACTCAGGTGATGAGAGTGCTGCTGACTTAGCCACGTTGAAGCGTAGTCAGGAATGGTCACAACGGAATGGGAACACTGCGTGTGAGCCCGTCAGGCCGAAATGATTATCTAGCGCCTAATTACCACCAACAGACAAGCAGGGAAGTCATTTTACAGTGTACGGGGTGGGAGGCTGGGTGGAATTCTGTGACAGGGCTACATTTCAGTAGTCAGCACCAGCTGGTCACTTTGCTTGTGAATGGGGCTAAGGCACATTGACTTTCCACAGTGTTGTCAACTCTCACTTATGCCTCTGCGCGACTAGTAATGCACACCAGTGGGCCCACCCTGGCACTTCATCCCACCTGACGAGCTAAACTAAGTGTGGGCCTCAGCTCTACTGCTGGCAGGGGCACCACACTCTCAGTGAGTACAGTCCACAAAAGTGGAAGAATCAGATGATCCTAATAAGAAGACAATATCTCTGAAGACAAACACCAATGAGAGGTATAACACATCCATGGCGCTACCCTGACTGATGAAGCGGATTCATGGGCACATACTTTGGAAAAGACTGGGACTTTCCCGAGCATCATCCTTTAGTTAACAACGAAGCCCACAGTAAAAAAAATACTGCGTGCTTACAGTGGAAGTGACTGACACAACTTTACACCCGAACGTCAGCAAGAAGAGGGAACCTGAAGAAAAAATAATTTCAGTTTACCCAGAGTTATGCAGAAAAAACAGCCCAGTAAGGGGTCAATAATTTCCTTGATTATGCCCTGTCATGCAAATAGATTGTGGTTGGGACTTTTGTCAACTCCATTTCCCTGTCACATCCCTTGAAGCCCTTACCAATGTCATTCATGACAGCATCAGTTAATGCCCAAGATCCCAATGCTTGGTTTTGAGGAGAAAGTTCTATGTCTTTGTGTGAAGGATTTGAACCCATGACACCTCAAACCAGCCCCAGCAGCAACTGAGTTTGAAGGTGTGATTAAAGCTTTCACTTTTATTTCAAGTATTATTAAACTCATTTCACTCTGTGATTCTACTGGCCTGCCTACAAGTTTAAGATTAGGACCTCTGTTCAAACTAAAGTCTGCTTTACTGGGCTCCCTCAGTCTGTCAATGCCTTAATTCACATGGGTTTCAGTGCATTCCTAGCACGATTTAAATTTCCAGGTTTCAGCTCCATCAGTTCCAATGTCTGTGCAATGCAAAGAACAGGGCTAATGTCTGGGATCTGCTTTCCATTAAGTCACAGAAATCTTAGTTTAAATGCTTTCTGTCCTGTGCAGTGTACTTGCTGATGCTATCACAACTCTTCATGAAAAACACTGAACCAGATGCAGTGTTGTTTCCACTGGTCAATATGGGCCTCTAGTGGCAAGAAGCTGACACTGCGAGATGGTACCACAAGAACATAAGAAATAGGAGCGCAACTTGGTCCTTCAAGCTTGTTCTGCCATTGGATGAGATCATGACTGATCTTTTAGCTTGATTCCATTTCCCTATTTCACTTGATTCCTTTGAGTCCAAATAATCACAGCTCTTTCTGTGACTGAACAAATTTCTCTTCAGCTTCACCCTAAATATCCAATCTCTTATCACAATTGTGTGACCTCTAGTTCTAGACTCTGTATTTGGGGAAACAGCTTCGTAGCCTATGTTCTGTCAAGCCTCTTATAAATTTTATAATACAATGAGATCACATCTTCTAAATTATAGCCCTATCTTCAACCTCACATCATTGG